GCTCGCGTAAGTACGCGGTAAACCGTGGAAGGAAATAAAGAGAGAAAGAAAGAGAGAGAGAAAGAGAAGGGGAAAAAGAACAAAAGAAAAAAGAAGAGAGAGAGAGAGAAAAAAGAAAAAAAAATAAAAGGAGTGGCATTGACCGTTTTAGCGTTAAAGGGCTCTTGTCTACCACATCACGGACTTATTCTTTCTCTTGTGTCTCATATACTAGTTTTTATGCTGACGTTTCATAGAACCGTGTCGTCCTAAAAGATGACATCGCGCTTAAACATTCAACCCTTTACGTTTGTCCATAATGAAAAAGAAATGAAAAAGAAAAGGAAAAGTTAACGGAACATTACGAGGAACGTATTCATGTTGCGTTAGTTATCATTAGTTATCTTAATTAAAAAGAGATAGAAACGTGATCAATGCGATGAAAGTATTCCTCTCTCTCTCTCTCTCTCTCTCTCTTTTCTTTTTTCTTTGTCTTTCTCTTTCTCTTTCTCTTTTTACTTTGGCATTATTAGTTTCATTTTCAGTATAGTAGTTATATAATTATCTTTATCGACAACTTTCATTGTATTCAATAATTCCATACGATATCGATTGTATTTCTTTTGAATATATTTTACGATATTTAATTGCACTTATTCAATAATTTTTAAAGGGCCTTTTTGCAAACGTACAAATATTTTCTCGTATCGCCTATTAAACGATATCACGGACGCGGATCGATCCAATTTCTTTTTCTCTCCTTTTTTTTTTTTCCTTTTTATCAGACGTTAATGTAAACGTAAAAATGGAGTAGCAAATTTTTAATAAAAAAAAAGAAAAAAAGGAGGAAAGAGAGTATTATTGAATTTTTTTTCGTTTCTTTTTTTTTCTCTTTATTTGGCGATCTTTTTCTGATTTTTTTTCTTTTCATTCCCTTTTTTTTTTTTTTTTTTTTTTTCTTTATTTCGCTTATAACGTAACTATCGAAAATACCGACGTTATTATTATTTATTCACAGCTAATTTGTCACATTGACAAAATCTTAGAAAGAACGCGAAAGAGGCGAGAGAGAGAGAGAGAGAGAGAGAGAGAGAGAGAGATAGAGAGATACGATATAAGAGACTTAAAAAAAATTTGAGAAATTAATGTTAACGGAGCCACAAAATGACGCGAGCTAATTGGAAAACTCACGGTGTAATAATTGTGAAGTAGAAGTACTGGAGAAAGTCGGCTAACGAAGGCAATAGTTGGGGGTGTGCTGGTGGTTGTTCGTCGTTCAAAGTTTCCTTTTCTTTCTTTTTTCTTTTTCTCTCTTTCTGTCTCTTTCATACTAAATCATTCATTTTCCATCTCTCTTTCTTTCTCTCTCTCTCTCTCTCTCTCTCTCTCTCTCTTCTTCTTCTTCGTTTTCTCATAGTAAAGCGAAAGTTAAATCTCGTGACCAACGTCGAGCGAATTGTCATCCCCCTATTCGTTCATCGAGGACAACTTATCATGAACGTCGAGGACACAGCTTGGTTGTTTCAATCATTTTCAAATCGTAAAAAGGAGGGTTCTCAACATAGGGTAAATCCAAATTGCTTTATATATTTTTGCGGCCTACCCCTTACGACGTGGTAATAAAATTGAAAAGTTATGATTTAGACGCAATCGTAACTGTCGCGATCACTTTGCAAATAGATTTTTCATGATGATATAACATACACGATTTAAATAATAATATAATATAAATGATTAGAACAAATACGATAATTTTTTATACACTGGAATGATTTGATAATAATTTTTTATAATTATGAATGATCGATTTGTAAGATATCCAATATCTCTCTTTATATATATATATATATATATATATATATATATATATATATATATATATCTTTCTCTTTCTCACTGTCTTTGATAATAATTTTATTAATTTATTTATATTACGTTTGCATTTGAATTTGATCGAAATACTATTCGTACTTTTAGATTACATTACAATTCTTATACAATATTAATACAATTCGTTATCGTGTCATTTTGATAAATATACCGGATTTATCATTTTATACATTTAAATATTAATCAGAATTTGATTATATTAAAGAATAATCTTTATTACTAGGATGGAAAAAAGAAAGAAAGAAAGAAAGAAAGAAAAAAAAAAAGAAGTATAAAGATCAATGAACGTTGATTATTTAACGAGAGAAAAATTTTTGATAGGAGACTCGCTGGTTTAACGAATCGAAATGGGAATAACGATTCAGAACAGATATATCGTAGTTATACAGAGAAACGAATGAGAACGGAACAATATATAAAAAAGAGAAAGAGAAAGAGAAAAGAGATAGGAATAGAGAGAAAAAGAGAGAGAGAGAGAGAGAGAGGGAAAGAGAGAAAACGAGTGATCTCTATGGAACTACCCTAGTGGATAATTGGTTCCCGTTACGCATCATGTATGGTGTGCGGCACGTGCGAATTCACCATAGACAGAAGAAAGAGAGAAAAGATGGGAGGAAGTTAGAAAGGGATAAAGAACGCGCGTGCAATTAGAGGATAGGTGTCAAACGAGCACAAATGCTTCAAATAGTGAGATTTATTTTTTCTTTTTTTTTTTTTTTTCTTTTTCATCTCTCAGATACAAATAGACACGTGATCTCTCTCTCTCTCTCTCTCTCTCTCTCTCTCTCTTTCTTTCTCTTTTTATTTAGGATTTCTTAATGAATCACTATATTAATCGTTGATTTATGTACGTATTAGATGATACCGTCAAGTTGTTCGTTATTAATTTCACGTTAATGTTAAAAGTCGTTTGAAATTTTGCCTGTCATTTTTCAATTTGAAAATCCTTTTTGAAATTAGGATCTTTCGGTAGACGTACGGCAAACCCGCTAGGGATTTTGAAATACGTTTAAATCGACTAGCAGGATATTTCTCTGATTTAACGATTCTCGCGAGCGGAGTTAATCCGAGGAAATGTAAAGGTGGCTTCAAGGAAGAGAAAGAGAAAGAGGAAGAAGAAGAAGAAGAAGAAGAAGAAGACGAAGAAAAGGAAAAAAGAAAAAAATACAAGAAAAAATGAAAGGAACAAAAAAAGAAAGGAAGAAAGGAAAAAAAGGGACTAGTCGACGGCGACCAAAGGAAAAAAAGAGTTACCATGAACGTGGCAGAATTATGGAATCCGTTCGGATAAGTTAATTACGCGATCCGATTGAGAGTGGAGAAAGAGAGAGAGAGATAGATAGATAGATAGAGAGAGAGAGAGAGAGATAAAGAGAGAGAGGGAGAGATAGAGAGAGAGGAAGAGAGAGAGAGAGAGAGGTCCACTTTAAATTACTTCGTATAAAAGTTCGAAATCCAATTATGCGATTAAGGAATGACTGCTGGTCGATAATAATTTCGAAAGGTTTTGCCATTGTGCCGAACTTCTATCAAGTCGTTTTTTCAATCTCGATTGGGATTAAGCTCATTTGTACATTTTAACAAATGATTTCGTGCAGATCTAATTAAAGAGATTCACGATTACATATATATCGTCGTTAATTATTGTCGTTAATTTAAAAAGAGAGAGAGAGAAAAAAAAAAGAAAGAAATAAGAGGAAGAAGAAGAAGATGAGAAAGGAATGAAAATTCGTCGCGACAGAATTATAAAAATGATTATAATTGTTAAACGTAAAATTAATAATAACATAATATGAATTTATCTGTGTAATAATTTAATCTTTTAAAGACCAATCATGGCTTCTTCTTATTTCATATATATCTAAATATTTTTCATTCGTTATCATACATTATTATATATTATATATTATTACAACGTTATTATATATTAAATTATAAATGTGTTAAATGGTGCATAGCTTGTAATATATTTTTACATTGATCGATATAATGTTAAGAAGCAATGGATTGTAAATAAGTCAACAAGCCAATAACTATATATAACTATAGTCGATTATAAGTTAGAAAAATTTCATTTATGAGGAATAAAATTTATTTATGATCTTTCTTCGCAGAAAATGTTCTCTTTGTTTTCTTTAGATAGAAAGATACCATCAATTGGCATTCGAGTTCGCTCAATAAAACTAAACAAACGTAAAAACATTAATGCCTCGATAAAGAGTATATATCTATAGCAGTAGTACAAAGAGTATCTACGTTTACTGACATTTCAATATTTATTATACGCTTATACACCTGAACACGTCCAGTTGTTCGAAATCAATATATTTTTTCGTGTACGATTCGTCAATAAAATGGCCAAAGGTAAATACAGTTCCGCAACATTTTTAAATAGTTGAAATGAAACCAATATAATTTTACATCGTTGAAAGTGTTCATTTTCTTTTTTTTCTTTTTTTTTTTTTGTTTTAAATATTACAAATACAGGGTCGATGAATTTATCGAATTTAAAGTTTGCGTATGTGATATTTTTATAATTGAAAAAATTAATAAAAGTTGGCAATCGATTGAGAGTAAAAGTAACAATAGGTATTAAACAATCCAAAAAAAAAATCAAAAGCGTTCGTTAACAAACGATATATATATATATACATATTCTGATTACGAAAAAAAATATATTGTCGAAATTATATTATTACACGATATTAATTATTTTTAAACAATTAAATATTTTAAGAGATTCGATAAGTTTCTATAATCATAATAGATCAATTAGAATATTATCATGTTATTTCATTCATAAATCTGTCATTTTTTTCTCTTCGTTTCCCTTCTCACTCTCTCCCAGACCCCGTGTAATCCGGTGTTTCCTTTTTCATTTGAAATGTCAAAAGTTCGAGGTAAATGATAAGAAGCTTTTTAAAAGATTTATTTGGAGATGTATTTAGACTAGCTAATGTGTCAGAAGACATTCTCCTCCTTCGTATAATTTTATTTTGTCCAAAGTCTCCTTTCGTTTCGTGGACTCGTGTATATATATATATATATATATATATATATATATATATATATATATACATGTATATGTAAGATAGATAAGTACATATCTGAACATTTTTCATGTTGAGAAGATATCGAGTAATATAGGTCGGTTGAGGAGGTAAGGAAGGAAGGAAGGAAGGAAGGAAGGAGGGTGTACCACCTACTGGAAATGTTGAAACGAAAGGAAATAGAGGGCACGTTGGACAAGCACGTCGGTCTTCCGGCTGAGAATCTTGACGAAAGGACTGATAGAGGAAAGAGAGAATCTTGCTAGCGGAAATTCCGTTTTACGAGTATCCGCAATGTCCGGTTAGTAGTTTCAACGTGGTTTCACGCAAACGCTTTGAAAACACGTTTTTTAAGGTCTTCTTTGTTGTTAAGAAAAGAAAAACAAAAAAAAAAAAAAGAAAACAAGAGAAAAGAAATGAAAAGGAAAAAGAAAAAAAGAAAAGAAAAAAGAAAGTTTTATATCAAGCTTAAAATTAAATAACATGTATTTTAGATCCGACCATGAAAATTCGCGCAACAAACAAACACCATGGCCTCTAACTTTTATATTTTAAATTCTTTCTTTCGTTAAATATTGTCGTCGAATACATTTTTATACGAGTATTTTTTTAGTTAAACAAAGAAAAGGATAAGTTATAAGGAAATAAAGGAAAAAATGAAAAGAGGAATTGACAATTTTGCAAAAACGTTTTCACAATTTTTACGAGTTTTTTCTTTTTGTCGAGCGTACACATAATACAAACGTATTCGGTGATTATTTCAAAGAAACTTGCTAGAGAAATATTTTACGATGATTTCAATCCTCGTTATTAACCGAGCGAAAGGAGGAGAGAGAGAGAGAGAGAGAGAGAGAGAGAAAACTGGACATTTTCATGAGATCGTTGCGAAAGTATGGGATTAACGACGTCTAGTTTTATGTGGAATTGAAAATTTCGCGATAGCAGAGTCAATATGATTGCTTTTTGACTGATTACATACGCATCGGTATATGTAAAATTCTAATTTCTATGCGAAGTATAAAACGAACTCCATTGTTTATTTTTATTTTTTTTATATATATTAAAAACTTTAGCTCATGTATTGATCGAATTGAGTTTGAGAATTTTATATTTATTAATTTTTTGATTTTTTGATTTTATCGTTATAGCGATAATTTTAATAATCGTGAAAAAAAGGATAACCCTTTAATATTTTAATATCGATTAATAAAACGACAGAAAATCTTTTGAGTCTATTCGCGTCAATCGAAGACAATATATTCAAAAGACAAATTCAAAGATAAATTCAAAGACGAATACAAAGACGTAGTATCGTTCAATATTCCACACTTTCCAGCTCTTGTTGTTGTCATTTCTAAAATATAACGCGATCAAAGTGCAACAAAGTAAGGATTTTGTATGGAAAATTTCTAACAACCATGAACCATTTCTCTTATTATTTAAACTCGCGTTAATCAAATTCTATAGAACGCATATACATATATATATATATATATATATATATATATATATATATATATACATATAGAATGAATAAAATTCAATGTTTCTTCTTTTAAAATTTCAATTTCGGATATTTAATTTAACTAAAAGATCGGATTGAAAAGAAAAAAAAATTAAAATAAATAAATAAATATCGATTCGATTACTTTTCATATCGAAATAACACGTCGAACGAATAACTATCGAAACAATATTATCGATGTTAACGATCTGGAAATATTTGGATTTATTTGAAAACGGATGAAAAAAAGAAAAAAAAAAAAAAAAAAAAAAAAGAAAAAAAATAGAAAACGAACTTATCTATTAAATAATCCAACCGTTATGATATTAAATCGATGAAAATTGGCTCGATAGCCAGTAATAAATGGTGCTGACACTTGGAAAACGGTACATTGAAAGAGTAAAGAGATACTATCATATAAAATGTATAAATGAATGGATAAATGAATGGATAAAAATGATTTTTAGTTATAGAAAGTTATGTAAAAATAAGAAGGGAAGAATAAAATGACAGAACTTTTTTCTTGTGCGGCCATTTTTCCGTTTGTCCAAACGTCCATCGATCTGGATTGTCCGTTCTTCATTTATTCTCTTTTGGATAGGAACGCGAAGGAAGAAGAAGAACAAGAAGAAGTACAAGAAAAGGAAAAAGAGAGAGAGAGAGAGAGAGACAGAGTAGCATAGCTATAAGAGCCATTCTCCACGAGTTAGCCACACTTGGGCACATGCATTCAGAAAGGTAGCTATCGCGGACGATTCCGTCCATTGGTTTTCGCATTTCGTGCTGTAGCGCGGTAAGAAAAAGCCTTCCTATTCCCTATTGTTCCCCAAACCTCGAGATTATTTCTGACATCTGCGCCGAAGGGAACGAAAACTTTAAAACCCTTTTTTTCGGTCCGATCAAACTCTAGTTACAATCGACGATTCGAAATCAACGATTTCTTCTTTGAAAATTAAAAAAAAAAAAAAAAGGGAAACTAGAAAAAAAAAAGCTTTTCCTAACGAAAGGATCTAAAATCAAAAATTGATATACATGAATTTATTTTCATTATGAAAATTTCTTACGGTCGATTATTAAATTGTATTGGTATTGAAAGGGAATTCGAAAAATATTTTTGTTTATTTTCTTTCTTATTTTCTTTTTTTTTTTTTTTTTTTTTTTGCATGACGGTCACCACCACCAATGAGGTAACATCATCGACGATCGAAGGTCCCCTATCTTATAGCTTTAAGAAGATTACGTACGGTCAAAAGTATGAAAGAACATCTCGAGAGTACACGACAGAATGTTATCCTCGAGAAATTCGTTCAGGATTTCCGGTTTTTCGCTTTGATGACGAAATTGCTTTCGTCTTTACGACGTATTCTCGTCACTCGTGGTTCATAGACGTCGACGTTCCTCTCGTGGCCGAACGAGCGAGACGTAATTAATGTTACACGATGAAATACCTATGTACATACACACACACATACACACACAAATATATATTATATTTTATATATTATATATTATATATTATATATTATATATTATATATATATATATGTATGTATAAGAGATAGAGAAGAGAAGAGAAAAGAGAGAAGGAGAGGAGGCAAAGTAGCAGAGCAGACATCGTGGAGACTGCGATCGTAAAATGTACGAGATTTAAAATATACGCGGGAAACGAGATGACATAGATAGAGACGAAGATAAAAGAAACGTTTCAGAATCGTACAAAACGGTAGAGTCTACTTCTAACGAAGAAAAAGAAAAAAGAAAAAAAAAAGTAATAATGATAATAATAATAATAATAATAATAAAAATAAAAAGGAGAAAAATGAAAAATAAAAAAGACACACTTAATACGATTTAATACGATATTAATCGAAGGATTTATTATGTCTCTATGGATTGTTAATTAATTAAAAATTTTGTCGAAAGGAAATAACGTTTACGCAATGCATTTTCTTTTTTCTTTTTCTTGTTTTTTTTCTTTTTTTTTTTTTTCTTTGTATAGATATTTCATTTACGATCGACAAGTGACATTTAACTGTTCGACGTTTAACGTAATACTCGTAAAATAATATCATCCACGTCAATGTTTCCCGATCCCTTTGATATTTCTTTTATTCTCTCTTTTATTCTCTATTTTATTTACGAAACGATAAAATTATTTCGTTGTCGTTCGATCAATCACGAAAAGACGACGTGAACGTGTTGACATATTACATATCATTCTTATGAAATTATTTTCAAGATACTAAAAATAAACGGGAGGGTGGGACATATAAAGGAGAAAGGAAAAAGTGACAGACAAATTTCTATGTGAAGGTAGACGCGATCGATCAGAGGATTTGAAAATTGACAAGTATATATATATATATATATATATATATATATATATATATATATTTACACATAAATACAAAGCAATTGGAAACCCTCGCTGGAACATCATTGAGTTAGAAATTAATCGAAGATTTTTCTTTCTAGATGAAAGGAAATAGGAAGAAGCCATCTTTGATATGGTAAATAAATAAAAAGTAAAAGTAAATAAATATGTAAGTAAGTGAATGAGTGAGTGAGTAAGTAAGTAAGTAAGTAAGTAAGTAAGTAAGTACTTAGACTTCGCGTGAGTATCTCGTTACTGTATAAGACTTATATTCGGTCTTTCTCGATAACCCATTTCCTTTCTCGTATCGTCTTTTGGAAGAACGTCGTCAGTTGCTTTAAGATAGCAGCCTCATTAAAATGTATAACTCGGCTATCGCAAGGACACGCCGTTTGTTCGGTAACTTTTCAATCTACATACATACATACATACATAGATATGTATATATGTATGTATGTATGTATGAATGTAGCAAAACGTAACTAAAGATTGTATTAAAACATTGGTAAAACTAAATTATATGATTGTTATGCATGTAAGTATTATACGGAGTATATCTCGCAGGAAATTTCACGCTGATCAAATAATAGAATATATTTATTGTCCCTTGAATGAATATTCTTTGATAACATTTTATTTGTCTCAGTATCGATTGTGATAACGGTGATAAAAGAATTCTTGCAATTTTGTAAATACCTTATCAATGGTTACGAGTTAGCACCACCTTTTTTTTTTTATAATCGCCATTGAAAATGGAAAATCGAAAAAACATTTTTGGAGATCGTACCTGAAACAAAAAGAAAAAGATAATAATTAAAAATTGAGAATTGTATGAAACTATGATAAAAATAATATCGTAGAATAGTTTTACGAAACGCTTAATGAATATTAGTTATATATAGACGTTTATACTATGTAATAAGAATTAGTATTTATTTAAAAGATTATAAGTTTATTCGTTATATTGAATTTTATAGTACATACATTGTATCGTTTTAGGGGGAAAAAAGAAAAAAGAAGAAAAGAAAAATTATTTCGTTAGCTTTAAATTAAAGGAAAGAAGAAAAAAAAAAGAAAAAAGAAAAAGTAAATAAAAGTTACGAATATTTATCTTCCATCAAATAATTCTTTTTTCCTCCTTTCGAAATTCACGATAACGAGCAATTTTCTCAAGTTTTAATCATTCACAATATTTCCCTTATTCTTTTCTTCCTTTCTTTTATTTTATTCTTTCGTTTTATTTCAAATATATATAACGAAGAATTTTAATAGCAATTAAAGATATTCAATTAACATAGAAGTAAATTCTTTTGCAGGTTATGCATTTGATTTTGACAAAGTAACAATGGAAAGAATAAAAAGGGAAAGACAATAGAGAATAAAAGAGAAAGAGAGAGAGAGAGAGAGAGAGAAGGAAAAGGAGAGAATGTGTTTTATTGAAGCGAACGAAGCTTTAACGTCTTACCGATCCCACTCAAGCTTTTGGTTCGTACGATTCGCAGTTACTAGAGTAAGGCAGGGTAAACAGGGTGAACACAGCCTCTTTAGTCCTCTTGAAATCCCTCGAGAGATAGAGATAAAGCGAGAGAGAAGAAGCGAGAGAGAAAGAGAGAGAGAGAGAGAGAGAGAGAAAGATCCTGGCTGAGCAGAGACCGCCTGCAGGCCAACTCGGCCATAATGGGCTCACGATTAGCGCCAAACACGATGCGTATAACCACCGATCGAATATTAACGAGCACTATTATTAACGTCAGATTTACTCCCCTTGAATTATATCATTTCTCCATGGAGTACGAATACGTCGCATTAACGATAAAGAGATAGTGTACGTTAACTATCATTCGTATTTTCCTTCTAATTCAAATATTTCGTTTCTTATGACTATGAGAATCGTAGGAATAGTAAATTATATTTGTTATGTAGACGTAGAAATATCGTAGTACATTCATTTCATATGATTTATTTTAAATAATTAATATTATTTTAACCTCCTTCTCCCTCCACCCCCTCCCACTCCTTTCCTACGCACCCCTAATAGTCATAGGATCTCCAATATACAGCATATAACTTACACGTAATGAGATTTGGATCGATAATACTTGTTATCTATCAAAATCTAATTCTATCCAAAAGTTGAGTCAGATTTTGATGTTAATGGTTGGCATATTTAACTACATTATTAAAAGCTTTTTGTTTTAATTTGTATTAAAGATTTAAATATTTACACTTTACAATGTTAATAATATTTGAATAGATTACATGTAATAGAATCCTAAAATAATTTATTAGAGGAACGTATTAAAAAAATTTTATTTCTTTATTATTATTTATCGAAAAATATAATTTTAATATTAAATAAAAACATTAGATAAAATGTAAAGTTTTGTAGAATTATTAAAGAAAAATTATTCTATTTCAAGAAATTCATATTTGTAGAATTTTCGAGCACTATAGGTGACGATAAAAAGCTTTATACGAAGGTGTCGAATTAAATAAGGATAATTTTTTAATTCATACAAACTTGTAATATTTTAAACGCAATCGTCATACTAATGATTTTGAAATAATGATAATGTATCATGAACGATGTAGTTAAATAATTGATATAGAAATATCTGGACTGTGGAATTTTATTTTTTGATGATAGGACTTCTTGTATAGTTATAATAAAATAGAAAAGGAGAGAACGATATAATACGATAGAAATAGAAAAGGAAAATCATAGAAAATAAAGGAATAATACAAATATATGTATGTACGTTTGTGTATTTGTATGTGTGTATGTCTTTCGAATTTTCGCACGATACTTTCTCGTTATTCGGATTTTTCATCCTCGAGAAATATTATGATCGAGGATAGTGAGATTATAGAGAGGGAAATAGAGAGAGAGAGAGAGAGAGAGAGAGAGAGAGAGAGAGAGAGAGAGAGAGAGAGAGAGACAATGTGAAGTGTTTCGTAATGTAACTCAGGCTCGATGGTTCTCATCATTTTTCCAATCTCGTGTTATCGATACCGTATTATCGTTCTACTCGATTCTCATCATCCTCGGTGATCTCCTCATCTCTAGTATCTCGATATCTAACCGGCAAAGACGTTCCTAGATATAATATTTTTGGCTCGATCATTCTGCGAATCGAGCAATTTTTTTTTATTTCTTTATTCCTTTCTTTTCCTTTCATTTTCTTTTTAAATAATCGATATCATTCTTTTTTATTATAAACGCGATATAATTTGATCTGTATAGTGTATACTTGTAAAGTTCTTAAATTAAATAAATTTCAAAGATTATATATAATATATTAAATACAATTAAAATTTCTTGATTATATTTAATATAAGAAAAAATATATATCTTAATAAATGATTTTCATCGTATATAAATAACAATTATTTATTTTTAAATTTTCATTATTATCTCTGATGTTCGTATAATTAATTTATACCTATTAATTTTATTCTAAACAATTATGACGTTTTATTCGACCGCTCGGGATAAAGATAATGCGAATTTAAATTCACCAAGTATGCACATATATATATATATATATATATATATATATATATATATAGATGGTATGTACGTAGGTAAATACAAAAGAGAATAGAACAATCGAAATGCAAGTGAAAGAAGAATATGCATGAAATGAGAGGGTAGTTTTAGTTGAGAGAAAATGTGAAATAAAGAGAACGTAAAAATATTCGTAAAATTTTGTAGATTCTTTACGAGATAGTATAAATTTTTCGAGAATCTTGAGAATATGAACGAAAGAAATAAGATATAAAATCGTATAAATATATATATACATAAAAAAAAAAAAATATATATATATATATAATATATAATTTAGATTTAGACTAGCATTGTATGTATCATATTAATTTAATATTATTAATGAACCCGTTTGAAATTTGTAGTCGACGTATTATTATTTTCAACGATAATGGCTCGTTCCCAACGTCATTTAAAATATGATCTCTCTTTCTCTCTCTCTCTCTCTCTCTCTCTCTCTCTCTCTTTCTCTTTCTCTTTCTCTCTACCGCAAACGGATTTAATGGATGATATTGATATTAAATACAGAAAGTTATTCAAAAAATGATTAAAAATAAAGATAAGAGAAGTGTGCTAAAAAGTACATAAATACATCGTTCGTATCGATGATAAAATAACACGCTCTTTTTTATTTTTTCTCGTAATAGTCATTCGAAAACGTACTATTGCGATAGTTTCTTTTTTTTCTCCTTTTTATTTTTCATTTTTTATTTTTTTTTTTTTTTTTTTTTTTTTTTAAGTAATTACACGACAAAGTAACGAGATTTCGTATAGGCTGAGTAGAGAAGCGAGAAACAAAATTATCCGCGAAATTCATTTTCACGAAAAAGAATTTACATTACAAATATAATTTTGATACGCCGAATTTATGAACAGATGTTAAATATCGCGATGAGAGAGCGTTCGAAAAAAAAGAGAAAAAGAACAAAAAAAAAAGAAAAAAAGAAGAAATTGCGTTACATGACGATCTGGATCAAGAGAAATCTATTTCTAGAAAATTGAATAATCTGTAGGATCAAAGTGTTCGTCGACAATAGCAATCGAATTTTATATAGTGGAATTTTCATTCTAACGATGGCACTGGCACTTTCTACAAAATTACAGGGATTCTATGATTAAACGATATTATTATTATTTTTATTATTATTATTATTATTATTATTATTATTATTATTATTATTATTATTATTATTATTATCATTATCATTATTATTATTATTATTATTATTATCATCATTATTATTATTATTATAATTGTGACATTTTCTTCTTATGGCAAACAAAAATGTATAATGATAATAAATAATGAAAATAGATTTAACAAAACGTGGAATGAGTATAATATAATCGAAAGAGAAAAGATGACGCG